TTAAGTGATTGGTTTGTTGTTTCCAAATAAATCCTTCGTTATAAATATGTACATGAATAAACTTTAGACATATACATGTTTGAAAATAGAAACTTGTAGAATATAGACATGTAGATATTTGAAGATGTCTATTGAAGAAAGGCTAAATTAAGCGATTGGTTTGATGTTTCCAAATAAATCCTTCGTTATAAATATGTACATGAATGAACTTTAGACATATACATATTTGAAAATAGAAACTTGTAGAATATAAAACATATTCATAGAAAATAGACATATACATATTTGAAGATAGAGACTTGTAGATTATAAAAACTAGAATAGAGTATATATAGAAACAATGAACTCCAAAAGTAATATAATTTTGATCACAGATAACGGGACGTAACTTTGTCACTATTGTTATAATTTTAGCAAAGAGAAACTTTTAAAATACGTCGTCCATACAAATTCTAACGAGCAACGTATTAAGATGTGTCCATACACAAATTGTTTATTAATGAACTGATTAATTTCCTCTCGCAGGTTATGATTTTCCCAGAAGGTACCTGTACAAATCGATCGTGCCTAATTACTTTTAAATCCGGAGCGTTCTATCCTGGTGTACCTGTTCAACCTGTTTGCATCAGGTATCCTAATAAATTGGACACGGTCACGTGGACTTGGGAAGGTCCTGGAGCGTAAGTATCGCGCTTACGCATGGTTCGCATGTAAAACAGAAACAGTTAGTCAGAGGGTAGTTATAGTTGGTCGATTCCTATTAATTATAATTATAAAATTGGAAAATTCGTTAACGGACCTGCAGTGTTGGGCATACTATATGAACAAAATACTCCACGATGATTTCAGATTAAAGTTATTATGGCTGACACTAACTCAACTGAATAGCAGTTGCGAAATAGAGTTCCTCCCTGTTTACAAGCCTAGCGAAGCTGAGAAAACGGATCCTAAACTTTACGCAAATAACGTGCGACGCCTTATGGCAGAGTGAGTCTATTTTGTTGAATACAAATACACGCAAAATACAAGTTTTTCTGGTTTAAACAATTGTCTATTCTAACGTTTCGATCCACTGAATAAGTGTTATAGTATTGATAGATATATGTACTTGTATATAAAATTTGTTTAGAAAATAAAAAGAAATTGATGAATAATATACGTACAGTGGGTGTAGAATGTATTCGTACACCGATCAATTTCCCAAAAAACTTTTCTGTGAAATTGTAGTTTATTAACTTTCTGTTTTTATAATCAATGATATTTTACATATTCTCCGAAGTCTCTAAGATAGATATAGTCCAAACAATATTTGCTAGTTAATATAATTTGTGAAATTAACAAAAATAGTGCGAAAAGTGGGTAAAAGTATAGAAGCAATAAGTGTTTGTACGATTCTTATGACGAACCATTTACAATAGAGTTTCTAACGTAAACGTATTAGTTTATTGCTCCCTACGAATAAAAAAAGATCAAATTTCTTGTAAAGTACTTTTAAAAACGGTTCTAATAGAGGAACGGAAGAGTTACAATAATTATAAAATCAAAAGGAAATCCCACGAAGGAAGCATTATATACTAATAAATTAATATAAATTTCTTTCTGTTTTTTTAATGTAGTGTTACAAATTAAACAGTTGTGCGAATACTTATTGCTTCGATATTTCTATCGATTAATTGTTTTTTTTCTTGTTAATTTTACAATTTACATAAATAGCAATTTTTTTTGTATTCTATTTATTCTAGAGATTTCCGAGAATATGTAGAATGTCATTGTTTATCAAAAATAAGTTAATAAATTACAATTTTACATAGTTTTTTTAGAAATTGATCGGTGTACGAATACTTTCTACACCCACTGTATACTTTATGGTACTTTAATTTATTTATAAGGATGTGAAGTCTTCTATACGACTATAATACCTTGTGTACCACAATACCTTGTGTTACTACAATCAGATACAGCTACGATTTTTTGTAGATTTAACCCTTTGCACTCGAGGCCTTTTTTTCTGGTATCTGCCAGCAACTCGAGATGTTTCTTAGCATTCTATTGCCATGAATTCTAAGCTATCTAGATTTGAGAATAAGGTCACCTTTAACTCGCCGACAATCATTTTATTGACACTTGGAGCTCCAAAGAAATTAAATCTAAAGCAACATTAGGTATCGTAGATTTGCTGCGTGAAACCTAATGGTGACTGAGAGTCACCTCTCGAGTGTAAAGGGTTAAAATTGTACAATCTCAAAGAAAATCCGTGGATCCGAAACGTTAAAATAGACCCTGTTATTGAAAATCAAACTCCTGAAGTAACTTTAGAAAACCCTTAATTATAAGCGCACGTCGTAATTCCTGTACATTGCAGGGCCTTGCAGATACCAGTATCAGATTACACGTACGACGACTGTCGAATAATTAGTAAAGCTCATCAGCTGCACATACCGCGTGCGTCTATCATCGTAGAGGCCCATAAGCTTCGTAACAAACTTGGGTATGCCACGCGAGTACACGAATTCGTATGCAAAATGAATACAGTACATAAGATAATGCGAAATCGTTCACCCTAATAGGTTGGTAGCGGCGAAGACCGAAGAAGAAATCGTTCAGAAAAAAACGGAAAGGCTAAACGAGACCGTGAACTTGGAGGAGTTCGCGCAAATACTCAGAATCGATGAAAAGGAGCCTGCTACCCAACAACTTTTCCGAATACACGATAGAGTCTGTATCATTTGACGTGCAGTGGGTGTAGAATGTATTCGTACACCGATCAATTTCCCAAAAAACTTTTCTGTGAAATTGTAGTTTATTAACTTTCTTTTTTTATAATCAATGATATTTCACGTATTCTCCGAAGTCTCTAAGATAGATATAGTCCAAACAGCATTTACTAGTTAATATAGTTTGTGAAATTAACAAAAAAAGTGCAAAAAGTGGGTCAAAGTATAGAAGCAATAAGTATTTGTGCGATTCTTATGACGAACCATTTACAGTAGAGTTTGTAACGTAAACACATTAGTTTATTGCTCCGTACGAATTAGAAAACTTCAAATTTCCAGTAAGGTATTAGGTTGTCCCGAAAGTTTCTTTCGTTTTATTAATAATTAATATATACACAATATTTTATGTTTTATGTTACAATACTGAATTGTGTACGATTCATTTCGCTTCATTACTGTTACAGCATCAATGTCGAAGAAATTAGATTGTCTATTTATTACACTGCTACAGAAAATAATTGAATGCAACTCGCGAAAGAAACTTTTAGAACAACCTAATACTTTTAAAAAAGGCTTTAATAGAGGAATGGAAAAAGGTCACATTTCGAATAACTAATAATTTAGTTAATTTAACGCTTAGAAGAGTTGCAATAATTATAAAATCAAAAGGAAATCCCACGAAGGAAGTATTATATTAGGTTGTCCTGAAAGTTTCTTTCGCGAGTTGCACTCAATTATTTTATGTGGTCGTGTTTATATAAATAGACAATCTAATTTCATAGATATTCATGTTGTAACAGTAATGGAGCAAAATGAATCGTACACAATTCTGTAATGTAACATAAAACATAAACTATTGTGCGTGTATTATTGGGTTGTCTGGAAAGATTCATGCCTATTTTTAAGAAAAATTCAAAGGCATATTTGAATATTGATGCATATTTATTGAATCATATATGTACCATTTTGTTCCACAACCTTTGCACCTTTTAAGGGATGTATATATATGTTATTTGTTTTCAATATATTCAGACCTGTACCGCCTACTAAAAATCGGCATGGACTTTCCAGACAGCCCAATACTTATTAATAAAGTGAAAGAAACTTTTGGGACAACCTAATACTTGTAAATTGATGTAAATTACTTTTTTTTTTAACGAAGTTTTAAAAATTAAACAGTTGCGCGAATACTTATTGCTACAACATTTCTATCGATTAATTGTTTATTTCTTTTAATTTCGCAACTTACATAAATCGCTATTTTTTTTTTGTAATCTATCTATTCTAGAGATTCCCGAGAATATGTAGAATGTCATTGTTTATAAAAAATAAGTTAATAAATTACAATTTTACATAGTTTTTTTGGAAATTGATCGGTGTACGAATACTTTCTACACCCACTGTATAAATTACAACTGATAATTGAATTCTCCGTCTAGTTATACAGCGTAGTTCGATAGCTATTGTCACCTTACGTAATCAGAGTTATGGAGGTCAGAGAAAAGTTAGTGGAAAAAAGGTTCCAAGATGGAAAAGAGTCCGTCGTATGGTAATATCTTTTTGATATGGAGCTCTTTGTGAATACGGATACCTTTGTGACACGAAAATCATCTTTGTTCTCTTTTAGCGGACTAGATATATTTTTTTTACATAATAACAGTGCTTGGAGGCAAGCAGAGAGACCTACATAGGACAAAGTGAAATCCGTGATACCTAGACCTAAAAAGAAAATAATTTCTTAACCGAAAAGTATGTTTAAAGTAATGTCATTGGAAAAGTAACTATAATCTTTACATATTCCAAAATTGTTCCATCTACAAGACATTTTTCTTTATATTAATATAAAACATTGAGCTATATGTATCCGTGATACCTAGACCTAAAAAGAAAATAATTTCTTAACTGAAAAGTATGTTTAAAGTAATGTCTTTTGAAAGGTAACTATAATCTTTACATATTCCAAAATTGTTCCATCTACAAGACATTTTTCTTTATATTAATATAAAACATTGAGCTATAAGACCATATAACCCTATTGCACGCACTTGTTGTTAATAAATAACAGTAATAAATAATCCGCAAGGTGACAATAACTATCCGATCGCTACCGTGTATACAATTGACACATCGAACTTTAAAATATAAAAAAGGTGTAATTATTCTAGAACGGAAAGGGTAAAATAGACTTCGAGGAGTATATATTCACAGTATTAGCCACAGCGAATGCAAACACAGAATTAGACAAAATCGAGACGGCGTTTGAAGTAAGTACGAATCGAACGTATGTTAATTTTCCCATGTACTTCTTATTTATGAGGTAATTAACAGGTTTGCGGTACAAAATCGTTATCGTGCATCGGTAAAATGGAACTGAGGAAAGCGTTGAAACTGTCGTTAGATGTACCATCGGAAGAGTCGGATAAGATCTTTCAGCACGCGAAGATTGATCCTTCCGACACGTCAGTTAATTTTGGTAAGTTAAAATGATTTAAAAAGTTATTTTTGAAGAGTGCGTTATATATATTTATTTACAACTAATTACTTGTTATTTTCTAGCATCTAGATAATCTATATAATTTTTTTTATGTAAAAATATTCATAAATGAATGAACAGCAGCTGTTTGAAGTCGGCTTCTCGAAAATGCGCCGTGCAACGCACAGATCACTCTAATTATTTGAAATCAAAAATCCACCAGTTTTTCGTTAAAATATAGTAACACGCTTTGCATCAACTTATTTTTTATAAACAATGACATTCTATTAGGTCGTCGTGAAAGTTCGTGCCATTTATACTTCTATTTCTCAAATTAATATGTGAAACATACTCTTAAGTGTTACAAGAAAAGATAATCTGTCTCGTTTCACAATAGTTTCTCACCTCTCTCATATAATCATTATACCGTTACTAGAACATTTCTGTGGTTTTTCTATTAAATTTCGACACAGTCTTCGGCACGAACTTATGGGACGACCTAATACATATTCTCGGGAATCTCTAGAATAGATAGATTACAAAAAAAAAATAGCTATTTATGTAAGTTGCGAAATTAACAAGAAGAAAACAATTAATCGATAGAAATGTTAAAGCAATAAGTATTCGCACAACTGTTTAAAAGTACTTTACTGGGATGTTTTCTAATTCGTACGGAGAAATAAACTAATGTGTTTACATTACAAACTCTACTGTAAATGGTTCGTCATAAGAATCGCACAAATACTTATTGCTTCTATACTTTTACCCACTTTTCGCAATTTTTTGTTAATTTCACAAATTATATTAACTATTGGGCTGTCTGGAAAGTCCATGCCGATTTTTAGTAAGAAATACAGATCTGAATATATCGGAACGACTGAAAACAAATACAATGTGTACATTCCTTAACAGCTGTTCCCACCTAGGTGGAAAGGTTGTGGAATAAAATGGTACATATATGATTCAATAAATATACATCAAAATTCAAATATGCCTTTGAATTTTTCTTAAAAATAGACATGAACTTTCCGGACAACCCAATAGTAAATGTTGTTTGGACTATATCTACTTTAGAGACTTCCGAGAATATATAAAATATCATTGATTATAAAAAAAAAAGAAGTTAAGAAACTACAATTTCACACAAAAGTTTTTTTGTAAATTTTTTGTAAATTCGTCCAATCGGTAGACGAATACATCCTACACCCACTGTATCTACCTACGTACCTAGCAATTGTCACTTTTAATTTCTGGTGATTGTGTGTTACAGAATTTGTCCTGGCCGCAATAGCAGCGCGAGCAGAGTATGCTCATATATTTACAGCGAACAGTGAAACGAGGAAAAAGAATATTTGAGAGTATTTAATCGACTCGTTCCATGCTCATCGAAGATATAGGACACATCGCGTTTGTAGCAGGCCGCTTCTCAACCAAACTTGCGTCAGTCCTGTCTAACTTTGTTCCACTCTTGCTGATATTAATACTGTTTCAACGAATAGATAGCCATTTTTTTTTTTAGTATTATATCGTTGACGAAGCAAGATGTCGTCTTCGTGAGAATTAAGAGAAAAACGGAACGAGAAGATTGCTGCATAGTATGTTAAGGATTGTATTAAATAAATGAGTTGATTTGTCTAGCGTTCGCGTGGACGCAGATATGTTTCTTCGTTGCTAGAAGAACTCTTTTTTTTCCGCGAGAATGAAGTCAATTCCCAAAGGAGATGTTGCTGTTTGGGGAAAAGAAAGTAAGATGTATATTTATCGTTTCCTTCGGAACGTCGTTCGACGATTTTTCTTATTTGTTATTGTGTAATTGTTTTAATTTATGAGAATGTTGAATTTTTTTTATATCATGCCATTCATTCATATGAGATCCAATAGGACAAGCGTACGACTGTAGATATAGAACACGGAAAGAGATTTGCCTTTTTTTTGTTATTTATCGCATAGTTCATATATGTATACAATAAATGTGATATAGCTTTCCTTTTGTTTTGATAACATTATAGTAAGGAAAGTATACGCCACGGTACTTTATCCTTCGACTAGTACACATCTGATTTAGAATAGGCTTACCTCGTACAATTACTCGCAATAGAGCTTACTGTAAAATTTTTCATCACCAGGTTCACATTCAAATTCAAAGTCATGTAAATAGTACTACACCGATGGTTTCTTAGACGTAAGCATGGCGAACACCTCCGTGTTCAACTTAAAAGTCACGGCGGGCGAATTGTCCATGCAAGAATAATTAGTTTTAGAATTATTTTAGATTGCTCAGGGTTCAGAAGAATTTGAAAGCTATTGAACATTTTCGTGCGTTGTAATTAAGTGGCACTTGACCACCACGATCGTAAACTTACTCGAGTTTCTGACATGTCTAAGGAAACGAAGCATGTTTATAACTTAAGTCTGCATTTAGAATAAATATATTATAAAATTTATTCTTTGCACAGTAATAATACATACTACAGTATTTAATATTTAATAAACAGATACATATACATGTGTATCCATATATACATGTTTATGTATGTAAAGTAATGATACATTGGTCATGAAGTATGATAAACTATTAATCATTGTATATACGCATATATTAAATACATTATATACATGTATTGTATATCAATATATATGTATATACGGCAAATATATAATTGTATATATATATATAGATACAATAAAATATTCTTACAAGATACAAACTATTCCAAGTAAAGGGTATAGGCAGATGAGAGGGGTTGGTGGTACCCCTAAATAAAATTCGACTTGTGATGAGTTATTCGACAGCTTATCCTAAAAGGCAACTAAAAGGCAAAAATTGAAAATAACGTAATATCGATCAATTTAATTGAAAAAAGTTACTTATGAACGCTGTTGTTTATAAGTTATTTTCATTCTTAAATAAAAATTTAGAAAATTCTGTACTATATGTTTTTCTATTCTAAACGTATCAAATTTTTTTTAATCTTTTATCATCCCAAGTCTACATACAGACTTGAAATTTGCGACATACTTGTATTGTTTTCGATAAGCTATCTAATGGACCTATCGCGAGTTGAATTTGGTGTAGGTGTATTTCTAACCTCCTTATCCGACTGTACCTTTTGATTATTCCTTTTCATTTGTTTACAGCAAAAATAATAATAGCGATTTACATAGATACATTAAGATCGATTTAAGTACAAATATACATATGTTAAGTATAACAGATCTATGGTATCACACAAAATCATGGACATGGTAAAAATAAAACTATTTTGATCCAAATCTCGAAAAGTATACAAAAATGAACATATATTAATGTCATTAACGCTCGTTGATCACAACCAATTCATCGAATATTTAATGTGTCTATAAAATACTTCAATAAGAGTTAAAATATAGTAAATACAAATTAATTAAACTCTTGTCGCATTATGCCAGGATATACTTTAAAATTTTTGTAAGAGCACAATGACAGTATATAATACATAAAGTATCTACAGAATAGTAGTTTGAGATTTCTTTTAATAAATTTACTGTACTTCATATAATATAAATAACAAGCTGTAATATTTCACTTAATATAATTTTTTTAAAATAAGTAATTTTACAAAGCGTGTTACAATTACCTCGGTATAATTCAGTGTTATATTTACTTGTGCATGTGAAAGTCGAAATTAGTATATTATTTATTGACTTTTATCATCTTATATTCTGTAATCTCTAATCCTCAACAAAATTTAATTTTACGAACTTCCGATCTTAAATTGCATTTTGAAAGGCACACCATTCTATAGCGATGTTCATTATAAATCTTAAAGTTTTAACCTCAAATTAATATCTTAGTTATAACGAATAATACTTATGTAATATTATATGCTGATTCCTATAAGTTTTGTGCATTACCTTGTACCGTTAAATTCATAAGTACAAAAATTGTTAGATGCCCGAGTATTGAAATGATAAAACTAAAAAAAATTTCGTAAAGTAGAACGAGAAACGTTAACCTATAAATACAATCGAACAACTATTTAATTTTATTTTTTTCGGAAAATACTTGACATGTTTGACGAATTAGTTTTCTGGTGAAATATCTTGCTCACTCTTTGTCTCATATCTTCTACACCTTGTCCTACATTTACGGTGGCCATTGATAATGAAAGACCAGGATTCATTGATAACGACCTAATAAACACGGAGAAGCAATACTTGTAAAATTGTTTGCAAACTAAAAAGACATGTAATATTATTTATATACCATTCCGCTGGCTTTGTAAGATCCTGTCGAGATTCTGCTTCTCTTAGAAGCGATCGTACCGCTTCTTTCTGTTGAGGTAAATATTGGTTAACTAATTGCTCGAGGTTCTTCAAACCTGGCAGTAAGACATTAGAAACACACTGATTGCTAAGTGGACAATAAACCAGAACGGAATATGCCTCAACCAAAGCACTGACCAGATCGACTTTTCGACCTTGTTGCAATGCTGCTGAAGCTATTCCAGTTAACTGTGTAGCTATAACTGTAAAACAGAAAATCGTATCTTCAGTTTTATATAATAAAAATTAAGAATACAAAAATTAACAAGTTCTCACCATCTTCAATGTAATTTTGGGGGCAATTTGGAGCAATAAATGCTAATGTTGAAACCAACGGAAGTGCTAAAGTTGGTGGAATACCTTGAGGTTCTTTAGCAATTGTTTCTAAAGTTAAACGTGCTTTATCGCGCATCTCTCTCACTTTACACTCCGTTATTAAACGACCAAGCGAAGGAATTGCAGCGCATCGGACAGTTCTAAAAATAAGGAATAATTCCTATGTTAATGCTAGCTATAACTTTCATATCAATACTAGCTCATTGAATTTTTAGATCCTATGGATCATAACGGAATAATTCAAAATAGAGTATTTACAAATATATCTTACACATCAGGATCACTAACGAGTGTTATGATTGCTGGAACTACCTTAGCGCTTGCTAACCGATCGCAAACGTGAGCTATTACGCAACCAAATAATGTTGCAGTTGCGCATCTTACAATAGGTCTTTGGTGCACTACCCCTATAGAAAAGGGAAGATGATGTCACTACTAAACATTCAATAAAAATATGATGAATCTCTATTGAAAATATCGGTAGGACTAACCATCCCATAAACCACTAAGGACAAACTCCTGCATATGCTCTTCAGCACACAACATAATTACTGCGATTTGTAAACTAGTAATACTGGTACCACTCATAGATAAAGCAACAAGGAACTCTTTCAACGTCTTAGAAACCTCTGTACCATTCAAAGTAGACAACAGAATTAAGTATGTCGGTATCAAAGTCAAGCACATATTTTTTTTATCTGCCGACAGTATCGTCAACTGTTGCTCAAGTTCGGCCACATCGGATAGGAATATTGCTTGAATCTAAAAAGCGGAATGCTATTAGATCACAAACACAGAAATGGCTCGATCAGTACCTAGCACTTTTATTTATAATTATAGTACTATATTTAAATATGTGATTTTTTTGTTTATGAGAATTATGAAACACGAAGCAGTGACTTTAAAATTACCCGTGTTTGCGTGATATATCGCCCAAAGCCCAAACATAAATAATGAATGTACATTAGAAGGGCATGTAAAATGGCTTCTTGTGTAATTTCTATGGATTTTACCATTTCCAAAATTTCCGTTACTCTGAAACATACAAACTATTGACATAGGGAATTATGAATTAAAAACCTAATCAAAAAAGGAGAGAAAAAACATACAATGTATTAGTGAACCACTCCAATTCTGGCCACGTATCGTTCTCCCAGGTATTTGAATAAAATGTGTTTAAAAGAGCTCCTACATCAACATCACCATCGTAAAATACTTTCGGATTAACGATATTGGAATGGCACAAGTTCAGGAGTACATCGGCTGCACGATGAAAAAACACAGGTTTAAATAAATTCATAATGGTTTAAAAATAATTTATCCCAAAGTTGATGATATCACACTCACGTAAGTCTGACGACATTCCATGTTCGATATACGCTCTAACTGTATCGGTATCGGCCACGCATACAATCATATGCGGAAGCAAGTATTGCAATACTAAAATCGATGACACCGTTCTTCCTTCATCGACGTGGTCTTTGTTTGGCGAATGCTGTGAATGTCCAGACTTCAAATGGTTCTTTACTTTAGATATTATACGTGGCAATAGATGAGTCTGCAGTCTCTTTAAAGACAGCGCCCACTGAGCTAAGATTGGTAGAAGTAAAGAAGACGTGACGTCTACGACAATAGGCGACGTATCGTGAAGTGCTGTTAATGCTAACTCTTCGCACTGTGAAAATAATTGTTATCAATGTATCTAAACACTTTCAATTGAGAATTATACGATTTTTACTTATATAATACCTGAAAATATTTGTCAGGGTCATCCATTAAAGCTATGAGCAACGCAAGACTTCTAACCACGCAAGCTCTGACCATAGGATCTTTATCTTCGAGTAACATTTGTTGTAGCATAGAGAGCATTAAAGAGTTCCTTATACCAACGGACATATACGGAGCTAGCACGGAACAACATTCGACAGCTAGCAATCTCTTTTCAGGATACTTGTGTTGACTTTGTTCCCAACAAATGGTCAATATTTCTTCACCTTCCATTGGTTCATCCTCAAGTTTTGCCATTGCAACTAAACCTAATGGAAACATACATATCTAAGTAAAGTAATTTTCGTATGTTATAAACAATTGTATGTCATTCGTAATAATGTGTATTAACCCGCTAATATTAATTGTCTTTCGTCCTCCTGTGGTCTCTTCTTGAGATTGAACAAAAGTTGTAGTAATTTTTCTCTCTCCGCAGACTCGGTATGAAGTCGAATCACGCTTAATATTAATGGTATTACTTCTTCGCGCTTATTGAGTATAACATTGGGTACGATACGAGGTAAGGTTTGTGCTAAAATTTGAACGAGAGTGTCACGTGTAACTCCGTTTTTGAAAGGATCTTCCGCCGTGGAAACTATAGAACTTGGAATATTGACTAAACAATGCGCGATCACTTCCACCTTAAATTTCAGTGGTAAATGTCTACAAGGAAAATATTTAGAATTACTTTCATAAAATGAAAATCGTTTTCCTGTTTTGGAATAATCACTAGTCATCCAGTGGTTATCGCAAAACGAAATTCGCGTCGGACAATGTCAATCGTCAAGATACAATACCTAGATGGTGGATTTGGCAGAATAGCCGATCCTTCCGTAACGTCCATCCTAAGTAATTGAATTTTCGTCCATTCTTTATCGCCAGGATCAGTCTCGCCAAGACTAACAACGACGGATACGCTATCATCTTCCTCTGGTTCTTGCGTCGCGGTAGATGTATCGCGAGGTGGTGTTTCAAGAAGTTCAAACTTATCTGGAGTTGTGGAACTTGAATTTAACGTTTGTATTGTTCCGCTACTACCTTGCTACAAAAATAATACATGAATTACAGAAACCTAGAAAGAAATGTATATCTTTTTTAAAACATTTTTCATATGTATATATCGTTTATACCTTAACTGGGTTTTGTGATAAATTTTCATTTGTTGTGGCGATAATTTGTTGCAAGTTCACTTTTTCTTGCTCTAATAGCGCAATTTGTTGTTTAAGCTCATCTACTTCTTTTACCTGTAAATAATGCGTACTCTAAATAAATATTAATCCAACACATTAATATGGCGCAATAGCTTGCAAATAAGGTTAACAAACCATTTCCTTGAATTCATCTTTTTCTGCTTCAGATTCTTCTACACAAAAGTCCGTCTGTACACTAACACTTGCAGAAGGTGATTTATCATATCCATTAACCCTCATATATTCTCTGTAAATTTGTAATAATTCTGCAGGTTTTGGAATATTCAACCCTACATCTTGCCAATCTTCAAAATCTTGATTGTCATTTTCATCGCTAAACGTGATCGACGTTAATTTGTAAGACCGCGCTAATAAATATTCATTAACAAGGAAGTTCAAAGCTCGTTGCTCGTGAGGCTTTATGGGTAATTCGTTAATTAAATGTTTATCAGAACATTTATCAGGTGTAGTTCCTTCAGATTCTAAAACATAAATAATATCAAGTTGCGATGTTGTTACTTTAAATGTAAAATTTAACTAGCAAAAAGAGAAAGACCTGTTACTACTGTGAGATTCGCACGAAGTGCAGAAATATTTTCTCTGGCCTTCCTTAGTTCAAATTCCAAAATTGCTACTCTTTCATCGACACCTCCACCATCTTCAGAGTATCTTGTCATGTCCAGTGAATCTAAAGTAGCCTGACTAGATGATCTAGCTAATAAATGAATACAAAAGTATCATCTTTATATATATTAAATAGCTATGCTCAATTTACATAGTTAATTAATTCCAAAATGCTAAATAAATCGAATTATATATACACAATGTATTTAATAAAAAAAGTATTGTACATTTACACAACGGAATATTAAAATGTTAGATTTATAACTAGTGAAACAACTGAAATGGAAATGGAAATTAGTTGATGTATAAATCTAAAATTTATATTCATTATTTGGACAACTTTGCCTACAATACATTTATTACACAGTCTGAGTTTCAAAAATGAATTAAAATTAAATAATTCTCTATGTACTCTTTTATGGAAAGGAAATTTTAGTGTCTAAATACATACACACATACAAAATATATATAAGGGCACAAATGGGTGCATATGGTTGTATAACCACATACCTATGAATCCATGTAACTTGACACTGTGTAACTCGAGGACATTCTCTATCCATAGATAAATATAAACTTATAAACATTACTATCGTAAGTATTAAACTTGTATTAAAATAATAACCAGTGTTTCAATTCTTTTGTAGGTAACTAATTTGAGTAACAAAATTATTTTAACAATACTATACGTACGCATAGAAGTATATGGTTCCGGTTTGACATTGTGACTTTCAAAATGACTTGGGTTTGAGAAAAAATCCTTCAAAACAGGTAATTCTTTTCCAGCTTCGCATAGTTCAGCGTGCAATTCCAAAGCAGTTAATAAAAGTTTTTCATTTAAAAGCTTAGTAGCAATCTCTTCATATGATATGGATGTTTTCGCGGCAGCATGTCCTAAAAGGACAACGCAAACATCAGATTTTATAAGATTTATACATGAAAAATATCATACTGTCAATAATTATTAGACGGCATTTTGCATATTCCAATTGCCGATGACGTGTATATATTTCGCGAGCAATTATCAATGACACAATCTGCATTCGTTAAAAAACAACCTTAATTCGATCATTTTATTTCGTATTGCAAATAGGTATTACCTTTTAAACAAAATACATTTGATCCTTTTAATGAAAATAACTGTTAAAGGAACGATTATTACCTTTACTGTCTGTTGACAGAGAATTCCTAACCTCCTGCACAGCACCAGCCATAGCTTTCACTTTACACGAACGTTAACTGAGAATGACATGTCCATCTAGGCTGATGAATAAAATAGTAACCCACTCAAGCGCGTGCCATGCTTTCATTAATTTAATTAAATATATTAATAGAAATCAGTTGGCTCTACGAGACACACGACATCGTTTACGATGACAACAAAGCCATGTTATCCTCCGTAATGTCAGAAGACTGGCGCAGGGCGCAGGAATGGTCAACAACTGACCACATTCGAAGATTCGTGCATGACCACAAGAGGACTGTACGACCGACTGTGTTCGTATAAAAAGAAAATCGTGGCCATTCCAAATAGACAAATTTTGCATATGCATGGACAATATACACGTATAAAATATACATCAGATTTTCTCATTAGAATTTTGAATGTGTATAAATATTCATCATGTGTGTTGTATTTCTTGCAAGACATTTTTGCGACATACATTCACTTATCGTCATCGTGTGATATTTTCTGCTAGGTTTAAGGGGGATAATATTAAATTGCATAAATAAGAATCTGAATGTCTAGTACGATGTAAAACTATTTCCAGGGCTGGCGCAAGGCAGGTTCAGCGCGTTCACTGGAACCCGGCCCCGCGTTTTAAAAGGCCCCGCGGTCTACGAAAATGACTGATTAACTTTTTACAGACTGATGATATCATTAACAAATACAAGACATTTTTTTAGTAGCGCTGATTAAATTGAAAGTAGTGACAAAAATCATCAAAGCATTATTATTTAATATTCATATTATACAAAATATACAGGGTGTTCCAAAAATGTTGTAACACCTTGAAAGGGGTGGTTCAGGAGGAGGTGATTTGAAACTTTTTCCTTAGCGAAAACATTGTCCGAGGCTTCGTTGAGGAGATATTAACGGAAAACACTGACCAATCAGAGCGCGCGTATACCGTTGGAGCGGCCGCGGTAGCGTATGAGCGCAGCCGCCTACCGCGTAGCCTACGCTCAACCAGCATACTCGCACTCTGATTGGTCGGGGTTTTCGCTTAATATCTCCATAACGAAACCTCGGACAACATTTTCGCTGAGGAAAAAGTTGTTTCAAATCACCTCCTCCTGAACCACCCCTTTCAAGGTGTTACAACATTTTTGGGACACCCTATATAGTATGTAACAGCATTTGTAAATAAATAATTCCTCGTTGTAAAATTTAAGTGTAGTATTTGCATGTGAATCCGAGCCCCGCAAAAGGTCACGCTGGCCCTGACTATTTCCTTGGGTACATCCAGAAGTGTCACCGCTCACTGAGCCGCTCTGTGAGCGGTTTTGGTACTAGTGGCGCCATCGGTGGGAAGTTTCCCAAGTTTGTAGTAAAAATAGTTCCCACCATTTCTGTAAGATGGCGCAACTAACGCCTTTAATCTATTATTCTTTATTTTTCATGAATGCATAATTAATATGATTCTGTGCTTCATAACAGCACCATATACATTAATTAATATGTCAAAATTTACCATTGTTACGAATAGTTATTTAACGCAGCAATAATTATCGACGATGATTATCAATTTGTTAGTGGTGCCATCTAGCAGAAAGAGTTGGAACTATTTTCACTACAAACTTGGGCATTTTCCCACCGATGACGCCACCAGTTCTAAAACCCGCTCACAAAGCGGAGAAGTGAGCGGTGGCATTTTTGCATATACCTTATATTATACGAAAAGAAATAGAATATGTAATATCGGTATCGATCGGTATTTACATAATTACATGGCGTCATCTATATGTAAAAGGATGGCCAAAGGATGAAATATTAGTTCGATACGCTCATTACTAGATAAGTATTCATTACTATGCTATTCATTTAAATAAAACAAATTTGAATTCTCAAAGAGAATTAATAATATTTTGCACACCTTGTGATAATTAGTTTGAGTGCGAAACTGTATCATATATCTCGAAATATAATTACTAATATCTAATGTAATAGCCTAAAATAATAACTGCATGTGTGAATATGCAAATTGCTCATTTTTACATTCTACTTAATGTATTATAAGTTTTTGTTTTTTCTATATATTTTTATTCGATATCTCTATATATTTTCATTGGAGAATTATAATTATTGTACATAAGTAGTAATCTGTATTAAATTCGTATCTCTTCGGAATGTTACGCTCTGCCGTTTTCTCTCTTCATCTTCTTGTTAAGATAATTATATTTCGTAATTATTTTATTTGTCCTTATTAACCTTGTTACGTGTTTTATAATACGTAAATTTAAAAAGTGAGCCAAAAGAGATTGATATGGTAAGGACATCAATATATAATTTTCGTGGAGTTGCTGAACAAGTTAGATCAGTCTTGTTTCTGACAACTAAGTTTTTAATCTTATCAAGGAAATTAGTTTATTAGTTGAAAGGAAGTGGTCAAATTTTTGCCCAACTTTGTCAAACCTTACCATATTCCCATGCTTTATAGACGAGAAGATAAAATGTATTTATAAAATTAAAACTAACACTATTAATCTTTCCAATGCTAAATAATTTCATGAATTATAGTAAACGATCTACTTGATCAATAAAATATTGATTAAGGTATTGATTACTTTTGCAAAGCTTCCAAAGTATCACATTTTACACATAGAATTATAAAACAGAGAAATGGTTTCTTCACCTTTAAGATGCTTATATTAAACATATTTTATAATTATTAGAAGGATCTTATGCATATATTACGTTTGAAAAACATATAAGGTATGAATTTTTAAACATACACAAGTACTTCAAAAACATAGTTCTTTATCTTTCTCAGTACAAGTTTGAAGCAATTTGAATATCAATAATTTCTTAGAAAAATTACAAATAAAATATAATTATAAGGAAATAAATGTGTATAAAATCAATACTTAAGCAGAATAAGTATTACAAATACAAGTGGTTCTGTATTATGTTACATCAAAAACCTAAAACAATTTTGTAGGTTGTTGCACATGGAAAACCTAACGAAGAACAGGGTCTAGAGTGTACCGAACTACACTTTAATTTATTACAAAGTCACATTTATTAGTCTCAGCTCAGCTATCTCAGCGTCATCAATAATACGAACCTGTTTGCTCTATGTACAATCTACCTTCTGCGCGTCTTTTGTCAAATAATAATCGTAATAAGTAATAATAGTAGCAATAACATGTCTCAAATTTTTTCGAAATATTTTTTTCATTTTTTTTTTTGCTTTCGCCTCGTTGATATTTTTATAAGTGTGTTGAAAAATCGGTATAAATGTAACTACTAAAAGGAGTAATATTACCGTAGTAATCATCGTAGCTTAGACAAAACTCGGAAGGACTGTAACACCATTTTACCTTATCCTATGTTACTATTGCAACGTTATTAAAGTTGGTTCATTTAGATACATGGCTTTGTAAAACCATTCGAAAACAAAATTCGCCAAACAATCATTTCTAAATAACTAATACAAAAATCATTAACATTTTTTTCTCCTACAATTCGTTCAAGCACCATTGGCTGTTTTATAGTATACGAGCGATTGAACAAATTGGATTCGATTAGGTCTAAAATTATTACTTCGTTCTTGATTTACTATCATCGATAGATACTACTTTGTAATGTCGATATAAACCTCTATCGACGCTAGTACGCTAATATTAATTCTTACAACTAGATCACTACCGTCGATACTATCAGCGATAAGTTGCTTGTAAGTCTTGCCGTGTTTTCACGATGTTGGTAGCTACGACACTTGATTCATACTGATATCCCTATATTCTTAGTTTTCTATTTATTTCCTATCATCACGTTCATATAATTAACAACTAGTTTAATTCGAACAATGATTTTTTTCGTTACATACCAATATATTCAATTGTCTCAGCAACCAACGGTAGACTCAAAAAACAGCATAAAATTTATATAAAGTATTACAGGTCTTCCAGAATTTTCCTAAGTTATAATTATTTCATTATATTTTCTCTAACCAGCAACCGCCAACTCCAAATTTGACTCAGGTTGGGGTCGAGAGACGCAAGGCGGTATAGTACTTTTTTTTTTTTGATTGGTATCAATCTAAATCTAGTATTTGGACGAAGTGCGAGGATGGGTCGTGCGTGCTTTTGCTTTCTAAATCGAGCGTGCGAATCTCATAAAATCGTTTTACTTCATTTAGCCACAGATAGCTTACTTTCGTATTTTCTTTGCCAGTTATAATCGTTAATTCACTTGATAAGTATAATAGTCTTTTTCAAAGAAAGAAACACGAAAACAAGAACGAAGGTCGTAATAATGTGTACGCGTGTGTATGCGAGTGTTGTATGAACAATGATTGGAATTTGTGGAACAGCCCTGAGAAAGAGCGACCGACGCGCGTGGAAATGACGTTTAAGTGAGTCATGGCATACCGCCTGTGTGGATCTGAATTGTATGAAAATGAACGTTTTCACTGAACGTGTGAATTTGGGAATTACTTATTAGTTACTTCTTTTATGTTTACTCTTAACCTCAAGTCTTAAGAGCCGTGTGACGTGAATCTGCACACCCGTGCCTCGAATTTGTATATAAATGACAACCTTCAACGCTAAATATCGATACTTCTGTAAAGAAATAAAAATCAATAAATAGCATATCGTAGTTCCACTGAAAAGTACATTACGTTTTAAATAATTCAATTCGATTTAAACCCACCGTCAGGCAACTCGTATAGTTTTCTAGGAAGAGAGGCAAAATAAGGATGCCTTAATGCTTCTTCAGCTCCTATCCGTTGATCAGGATTTAGCTGTAGAAGCGACGACGCCATACTATCGCCATCAGCAATATCATAGAGTCTAGGAAATGAAAGACCCAATTTTCGTGGAGGATAGAATCCCAGTCTATGTGGTTTGTATCCTGGCAGGTGTGTGACACCAGGCCAAGTTTCTTCGGTAGGGGTACCCAATACTTTGAATATTTTATCAAGTTGGTCGTACGTACAGCGTACACCTGGGAATGTTGGTTCACCAGTCAACATCTCCATAAATATGCAACCTACTCCCCACATGTCAAGTGAGGTAGAATACTCTGTGGAACCCAAAAGAACGTCGGGTGGCCTGTACCATAGAGTCACAACTTCGTGCGAATACGTATGCGACGGTACAGATTTAGCTCTTGCTAAACCAAAATCTGCTAACTTCAGTTCTCCTATTTCACTGATTAATAAATTTTGTGGCTTTACATCTC